AGGGTAGTATATGTGCATGAAGTCACACCGTATAAAAACCAATTTCGAATAAAATTTTTGAGAAAAAAAATTGAAAGTACCCACGATTTTTCAACAGTGTGGGGTCGTAGATAGCGGGATATTTGCCTTCGGACCAAAAAAAGCATGGACTGGTTTGTCCCAGATTTCTATCGCTTCACGAAGAGTACAACGGTACAACATCGTTGGGAGAATTCTATAGAAGGGTTGTACTTGATCGAGGAGGAGGGAGGTTGTATCCGACCTTGGGACAGGTTTTCAGAGTCGCGAGTAAAATTCTTCTGGTTGTTCCCGTTTCACATGCGCCCCACACCCATACCACCCTAGCTGGGGCGTTGCAGAACTTTTGTTTATGTAACTACTATTTTCGAGAGAGGACACTGTACTCCCCTCCCTCCCACCCAGGTGTCAGTACCACCTCCTCAGGTGGTCGGCGTATTTTTTCGGGAAAGACCGATAAACTGTATGGAAAATTGGTAGGGAGCTGGATGAATTCAGCAAGATGGCAGGAAGGACGAGAAAGGAGGGTCGCATTGAAACAGACGTTTTTGGGAGCCATCCCAATAGAGGAAATTCTAGGGGTTGTACTGACACCGCCATTTCACCCATCCCAATCAGGGAACGTTCTGCCGTTGGAGGAAATTTTGCCAATGCCACTCCCCTCAAAACTTTCTCCTTTATTACGACCTCCCCCTCCTTTCCCGTCCCGCATCCTACCTACCATCTTCATGAACTTTCTCAGTTTTCCCTAAGCTTCCCCGCCTCCCCACCACCAGAAAAACACCGTCTAGCTGCGGGTAGGAGGAGGCATGAGTGAAAGTAATAATGAAAAATTCTAGGAAAGTTAACAATCAGAAGCTTTTTTCTCTTTTTTCCTCTCTGGCAGACACAACCCCACTCTCGAGCGACCGAATACCAAATATGCCACCATGCTGTGGATCGTACCACCTACCCTGATCTCCATGCCTTGCTGTAAGAGCTGTTAGCGGAAGAGTGTCTGAGGAAAGTGCCAGGAGTAATTCGTTCTATGAAATGCGCCATCCAACCAGATAAACTCCCTAGGGCAGAACTTGGCGGAAAACCGTGTAATGATTTAAAAAGTAATTTTGATTCCAGGAGCAAGCCGACCATACTCGATCTTCGTCATGTGCGTGAAGTTCAGACGTTGGATTTCAAATTATCGGCAATTCAAATAGGAGACAAATGGAAAAGAGATCGGGAAATCCAGAACTTCTGATCCCGTTGAAATTCGTATTTCTCACGGCACGCAGTTCACTCTTAAGGAATGGACGCTGTTGTGTGAGTTTCCGCGCTGCTTTCCCTCAACTCGGCTTGGCTAATTTCTCAGAAGATCCAGCCCATCGTGTGGGGCGGGGTCAGCCGGTGGTTCTTGCCAACCAGTCCCCGTTATCTTGTGGGCGGAGTCGGGACTACTTCTTGCGCTTTTGTCATTGGCGTGGCGTGCATGTTTTTTACCCTCTCAGAGGGTAGGAAGATACTAATGGAAGGGCACAGTGGTAGGCTTGACTCCGCCCAGATCAGTAGCGTGGACCGTGGGTCCGATGAGAGGCTATTTGTGGCCCTTTTTGGCCTTTTTTACAAGATTATGCCTCCTGGTGTTCGGGGCTAGCCGAGCCAATATGCAAACAGTGATGCTCTTCCCCTTGAGGTCTTTTCGGTCTATTAGTCTGAGGTCTGAGGCAATCCATAAGGTTTTTCTGTGACTTGTGGGATTTCTGGCCCTTTACTTAGAATGCAAGAGAACCTTTACTGGGCTGTTTGATAAATTGCTGAGAATTAGGTCTGCTGGGTCCTTTTGAGACTTTGTACTGGGCTAGAGGGAACCGCTATATATGTAAAAAAATTTAATTTCAGTCGAATCAGCTGAAGCATGTCGCCTTTGGTGCCAGGGTGTCCACAACCTTATGCTCGACACACGTGATCGGTTCATTTCCAGTCATACAGCCCGCATTGAACGTTTTATCGCCAAACATTTCTACAACCTTGTTACTCCAGGGACTGAATTGTAAGTTGCTTGATCCTCCGTTCAATCATGAACCGCTGTCAAAAGCGCGTTCATACTTTGCGTCAGCGTTTCGATTGTACGGCCAGGTCCCGCTACTATCGAGCGTTATGGAAAGTATACATATCCGATCCAGCATTCTGAAAGTACAGCCAATGCGTTCTCATGCGTGCTGACCAAAAGGGTGAGCGGTTGATGTCGCGACGGAGAGGGGGGGGCGATGCTTGCGCTTTGCAAAAGTCCCGATCACACCGTGTCGACAGTCTAGACAGCTATTTCATTGAGCTTAGCAAGTGCTCACAGGTTTTGACACACTTAGTTGCGACTCGATGATCTGCTCAGCTTCATAGGAGTTTAAGGGTTTCACCAGAGCTTAGACTTTTTAAACAGGTAGCTGTGAACTTATACGAAGCAGCGAGGTGCAACACCGTCCCCACCCGCCGTCCCCGAACTGCGCCCTACGAAGTTAGGCTAGAGAACAAATGCCCTCCTGCTTCAAAGTGCGGTACGATTCAGCGATTGCCTGCGCCTCTCGAGCGCTGATCGACAAAGTATGAACGCATTCTAAGTGAAGATTTCAGATGTGCGGAACACATTATGAAGCATTTGCTCCAGATACATCTCTTCATGGTATAAGGTTCATCGATAGGCAACTGCAGTGACGGTGACCGAGGACCTAAATGATTTATTTACTAGTTCTCACTAAGCAACTAGGAATTCTTATCCATCACAGACCGTTAGGAGAAATGTTCTTCAACGGTTTATGATAACGCGAGCATTGGTCTTAAGCCTTTACAACCTCAATCTTCATAATTTTGGCTGGATTTTTACCGAGATTCGTCCCTAAGGGTCCACTCGGCCAGAGATTTGCTCAAGGGTAGTTTGATTCCCCATAACTCGAAACACCCGCATTTTTGGACTCAACGCTAGCGGTTCTTATTTGGTTAGCACATGGCGCTTTTTGCGCCAGTTTTACGGGATGTGGATGGTTTGTCCCTTCAGGGTCGAAACTAGCGACAAGTGTTGAGTGAATTCGACGGTTGAAGGTATTTTGAAACTTTTGCCTGTAGTACCTTAGCCAGGTCCCTGTTCAGGGGGCCCACTCTATTCCCGGAGACAAAGTTCTAGCCAATCTGCTTCTAGGCGCAGACTCCAATGAGAATAAAGCTTAGAGAGTGGGGCAGTAAAGGGAAAGTAATGCTTTCAAACTTATTCCTGAGCACAATTTTCAGCTCTTTGCGTCTCGCTTTGCTGAGCTTGCCCCGGACGGAAACATCGTGAAATTTGAAAGTTTCATGAAATTTCTTGAGAATATGCAAAGCGATTCGTTGAGTTCGAATCGTTCACGAGTTGTCGACTTCCTTAGAAGGTATTTTTTATATAGTAACTTTTCCTTTCGTTTTTGGTCTCAACATCTCATTTTTTGGATTCCTGAATGTGGACGACATGCTAACAGATGATATTCCCATGGAACCCTCTTTGTCTGTTATGGAGGTAAGTGTACTATGCAATTTTGCTCAACAGAGACTAGAATTTTTATTACCGTCGCATACGATGCGGCTATACTCCCCCCCCCCTTGCATCTGAATGCTACTTTCATCAAAGACGCTAAATCAACGGAAATATGACACAAAAAGCTATTGAAAAGCGAAATGGATAAGCAACAGCCCTGTGAGCGGGAGATGCGGGTTCGCGTCCCGTCTGGGGTCTGACTTTTGCCTATAATTAGCACTCTTGTGCTAACTTTCGCAGCGTGCACTGTGGTGATAAACAGCTGTAGTCAAGCTAAATAACAACCGGGCTGCATTTGGAGCCTTTTTGACTTGCTCTTCCCTTCGCCGAGAATCGCGGAGGTCCCCACGAACGATGGTGCCCTAAGTGAAGAATTATAGCTGCCATAGCTGAAACTAGTCGAAGAAATGGTCGCAAGAAGTGTGCGCCACAAGTTTGTGATAGTAACGATACCCACCCGTATGCTTAGTGATATGGATGTTTTCAGTTCTGTGACTTTCTTTTCTCCCGCGAGAATTCTTTGTGGGATTCGATGAACGAGAAAGTTATTCAAGACATGACGAGACCATTGTCGCACTACTGGATCGCCAGTAGTCACAACACGTAGTCTTTTTAAAAATAAAACGCACAAAGTAAGCTTCAGTAATTAGAAAAAGATGGTTTCATCGTGGAACATGGGAATTTCAAGTGACATAGTTGGTTCTATTGTAGTTGCTTAATGAGTTGATTCAGGTACCTTACTGGTGATCAACTTCGTTCAGACTCCTCACTGGATTCGTACGCTCAAGC